GGGCCCGCAGCGCGGTACCCACCGCCCCTAGCAGGGCCAAGCGGGCTCCCGGGGAGAGGCAGCAAAGTGAGAGGGGCAGGGAGGAGAAACAACACCTGCAGCCCGTGCCTCACGCGAGGCAGCGAGTGCCAAGGGCCCAGGGGAGGGCGGCGGGGAACCGTCCCTCCCCCGGTCAGGGCGCGGCAAGGACAGGCTTGGCGCAGAGGCTTGGGCTAGCAAGGGCTCAGCTGGCTCTTACCCGAGTATGTGCAAAGTAACATTTTTCTGTAACAAAGCGGGGAGCAGGTGAGTTACATCTCCAGCAGCTTTAGTAAAAACCTGTATTTAGAACAAAACGGAAAATCCCAGGAGCACCCAAGTTACCCCAGCGTATATGCACCAGGTACCTCTCAAAAATGGCCAGCCCAAAGGATTTACAGAGCAAGACACATTATGCTTCCAGCTAGTGATAGACACACCACACCCCCATGTAGGTGCAGGTAATGAGAAGATTCACACAAGACAAAAAGCTAGAAGGCAGGTTTGTCCAGAAAGGTCACTTTATTGGAAAAACCTAAAATGGACTTAAAACCTGCAGCCCTCCTCCCACAGCAGTGGTTTCAATGGGCTCCCCCAGTTACCTTAACAGACCCATTACAGACATGAGCTGCAGTACAAATGTTAAAAGTGCAAGTATTCTGAACTTCACACCCACTTTTATGACCTGGCAGGAAACACAAATGCTTCACAGCTCACAGAGAATTCGTTCACAGCACTTGGGAGGCAAAACTGGCTCCCTGCATTCCCCACAGGATACAAAATACATCACTCAGAGGAGAGTCCAATGCAGAACATCATAGAAGGTAGGGGTGAGGTTCCTTCAAATTCGTTTTATTGCAGTAAAACCTCTAAAAGGTAGAGCTGTACAAAAAGTCTAAACAGCATTATTTAAGAATAACAGCACCTTACGCTGCATTTGTTCTTATTTAAAATTCTATTTCCCAAAAATACATTCCTAAATATACAAACTATACAATCTTCTCACTTTAATGCTGGTTTCTGTGATGATATAACTTTAACCTAAAAATCTTCAAAACATCCATATACTGACAAAAACTCTAATATACAAATGCCTCGGTACCTTCATAAAACCACATAAATAACTTCAAAACCCAAACTGCCTTTGTAGAATTGTCCAGAAAGCAAATACTTTATGGTGATCACACATCATCCACAGAGAGCGTTGGAATGTTTATCCTTGGCCGTGTGAAAAATGCCATTTTCTCTCTAAAAAAAACATGATCAGTTGTTAATGCAACAGAAGTCTTGCCAGAAATGTCCATCATCCACATTAAAATTTATCCCACCAGCTGTCACCACAAGGAGCAGCAGCACATCCTCTCACAACCTACACCTCCTATTTACATATCAGACATGCGGCATCCTTACACTTAAACTCACAACACTGACCTTATCAAAAAGACATTTTGGAAAGTCTCAGGTTGTTGGCTTTCTAGGCATGTTACTTAGGGGAGCAAAGGGCTACTTCTGTATTAAACAAAGCATTTGTGAATTTGTCGCCAGGTGGGGAATGAGTTGGAGTGCTGCCCACTGCTTCGAGGTCACATGCAATGCTGCAGCTAGTTTCCCTGGCTCTCAGACCTTGTACTTTGATCCAAAAATACAGAAACTTTTGTTTAAGCAGAACGGTTAACTACTTCTACAAAGATTAGCCTTCCTCATCAGCACCTTAGTCACCCATAGAAAAGTCAGGGTAGCAGTCGATTTTTCCCTCCCTTTACCAGGGACCTTATACTCACCTGAATGACTGTACTTCCAGAGGCTCCTTCCGAGACTGCCCTCGCAGCCTGTGGACATCCTTGGCAGCAGCTCTCAGCATTTTATCAGCTTTGAGCTCACACTTGTGTTCTGTTTTTTCCACCTAAACAAATAATGAAAAAAAGCTGTTTGTGTTTCCAGGAGGAATCATTCTATCCCAGCTAATCCCCAAATACAGCAGTATTTCAGCTGCAGGTCTGAGGGGCTTGGAAGCTGTTGACTCTGGAATCACAAGCCAGAGAAGCTAAACTGAAGGCTTGTCAGCTAACAGACAGAGCTTTTTGTAAGGCCTTCTTCCAGCTCTTTGGTAAGAATCATGGGTGCCATCTGCACCTTCTTTGTATCTTCTTGATATATTTTTTTAAGCCAGCACATCAGCTCACGCAAGAACACGGTAACCCGTGTTCCAGCTGTGCCCTGAAGAGCACCTTGTACAACTCATACACCCGGTGCCTTAACAACTTCGTTTCTGCCTGGTGCTGAGAATGATAAATCACAGAAGTTGAGAAGGAGCCCTGTGCACGAGGGAGAGTGTGATGTAGGCAGAGTAAGGTACGTACTAACCATGACACACCACAGCTACCACGGACTGGGAGGCTGCACTTCACAAAACAGAGGGCATTTGTGACTTCTTTGTGATTTGCACCTGTGCTAAGGCAGCAGATCTCTGTGCTGGTAAATGCACAGTTTCGGGACTAACAGAACTCTACAGGAAGCTGAAAATGGGTCAACTCCAGCAAAAGTGATAATGCTTTCAAAGTTGAAAGACAACTTTCATTAAAAAACCAAAATTGTTTAATGAACTGTTTGTTGAAATTCTTGGTAACTAGTCCTGTCTCCTGTCCATCCCTGCCCTGCAGCCCACCCTTCAAAAGCTGAAAGATAGATATT